CAACATTGAAAGAAAAAACAAACTGACAGTAACAAGCGGGGAGGAGAGAGGGAGGGTAATAGGGAAAAGAAAGGGAAGGGCCAAATCAAGGAACATGTATAAAGGACCCATGGACAACACCAAAGTGGGGAAGGATTGAGCGTGGGAGGTGGGGTTGGGTGGAGCAGGGGAAGAGGGGGTCAGGAAAATGGAGAGAAATGTATTTGAACAATAAAAAAAAAATTAAGTAATGCCAGTAAAATATATACACAAACATTAACGAAAACTGATGAGCAAAAAAAAAAGGTCTGTGCATAATTTTGGTGATATCTGCCACCACAGACAAGCAAAAAAGTCCTCCCACAATAGCCCTAATTATGCAGCGGTCCTTTCGATAATCTTTTAAAATCATCAAACAGGTCCCAAGTAATCACTAATATAGAAAATGTATATATCTAAGTAATAAAACATCATTGATTTTTTTTTTACTTTGTTTATTATAAAAGTAAGAGGGCAACATAAAATTAGTGGGATGTTTGACATTGTATTTGAGAAACAGTGTGTTTGAGAAAATACCTAGCTTGATAGAATAGTTGCAATTCCCATCGAGTTCTCAAGGTGCTCATCAGATATTTTGGTTCTAGTTTTACTCTTAATGTGTTTTATTCTTGAAAGTAGTTGTTTGGAAATGTAGTGCTGCCAAATAGTGATGACATGAATAAGGCATGATTGTGAAGCAAGGGATATTTGTCTCTGGGAAGATAGGACCTATAAAAGTCCAGTACAGAGAAGTGTTCAAGTTTTTCTTTAAGTTGAATGTCAGATTGCAGCTCTATGCATTCCTTTTGAAAATTGGCTGGTAACATATTTATGTCAACTGACTATGGAGTTGCAAATATAACAAAATATTATTTTCCCAGAAATCTCAAATCTGTTTTCAAATTCTTGCATCAAATCGAAAAGCAAGGCTGCGTATTTTTCGCTGTTCACAAGACTATGTTTAGCCAATGTGTCAGAATGCATAAAATTGTTTGCCTTAATTTGAGTTTGCCGTAATTTCAGTTTCATTTGGAATGCTGTTATGGTTTGAAACATGGTATTGATAAGTGGGTTTTCATCTTGAAGACACATGTTTAACTCATTTAAATGAGCAGTTAAATCCACTAAAAATCCTAAATCTGTAAGCCAGTTTTCATTGTCAAGTTGCAACGGAAATTTGTTTTTGATACCATAAACGACAAGTTGCAAATCATAAAATCTTTTCAACATTTGGTCTTGACTTAGCCATCTTACTTCCAAAAAGTAAATCTATTCACCATTGTCAGCATCAGTACTGTTAAGGAATTCCTGGAATTGGCCATGATTCAATTTCTTGCCTCTTAAAAAATTCAGTCTTGATGATTTGCATGACATTCCATTTTTAAAGCTTTTGTGCATAAATTTTCTTGATGTACTATGCAATGATATTTCATCAAACAGGAGTTTTGGGTGGCAATTGCATCATCTTCTATTAATTTTACAAGTCCCTCTCTTACCTTACATCACCAGGGCACCAGATATGTTGACAATGGACAAAGAAAATATCTAACACATTTTTTACTGCTTCATATAAATTTCTTGATTTAGTTTTGTCTTTTCATGGCACTAAGGAAGCCATTTCTTCAGTGACATTATATTTGTCATCAATACCTCTTAATAAAAATGACAAGTTGAACTGTATCTGTAGCATCAGTGCTGTCATCCATCTCCTAAGCATAAAATTTGAAATTAGCAGATTTAGTCTCCAAATTTCTTCCAATAGATTTTCCAATTCCTTCAATTCACCTAGCTACAATCTGGTGAGACAAACTGATTTTAGAAATATGTCTCTTTTTTTTCAGGGCAAATTATATCTGCCACACTTTCTAAGCATTGCTTAATAAATTCACATCAGTAAACAGTTTTGATTTTTTTTTTTTTTTGCTATTAAATATGCTTCCTCATAACTAGCTTTTACAATGGAATCCACCCAATTTGTAACTTTTTAAAAAACTTTTTGTTGAGAAGACAGGCTTTTTTTCAGTTATGCTATTTTGTCCTTAAGACACAATCCTTCATACACACTGAACATGTTTTTGAATATAATGCCTTTTGAAATTATAGTCTTTGAAAACGTGCACAAGTTCCCTACAAATTAAGCAGAGTTCCTTACTGTTTGCCTCAGCAAAAAGTAGTCATCTGTTCGCTTTTCGTTGAACATTCTTCCTTCATCCATAAATTTTTCTTTTGGCGGATTCTTTTTCCTTTTGAGATGTTGTAGAAGCCATGCTGGGATTTAAAAAATAATAACAAATAAGGGACTTTATTTACTTTTATTATGAAAACTAATTGACAGGAAAATAGAAAGCAAGGTTTGGGCCCTTCCACAGCCCTCTCGGTTGCTGATGCAGGGCGGAGCAGAGGGCTGACTATAAAGCTTAGTGGTCAGTGTATGAGGCACCACCAAGGTGTGGAAGTACCTTTAATAATCAAATAAGAATGCTGACTTCTAAGTAACATAAAATGCCTAACATTGCAGTGTTAGTTTTGAAATATTATTGATAATTGCTTGCTAAGTCACCAAGAGCACTTATAAAACATCTGATGGTGACAATTCTACTGTCTGTGCTTGGAAGATACACTGGAAGCCACACATCACCATAAAACTGAAGCTGTGTATGTGTACAAATAGAGCATACATATATTTATTTTACATGACATTGCAACATGAAATCAGAAAAATGTCATAACGCTTTAAGTAAACTTACGATTTTGTGGACCGCATCCAGGTCATGGGTTGGACACCCCTGATTTAGACAGTTGTCTTAAAGTTTTCATCTAGTCGATCAGACATCGTATCTTTTTGTAAGGATAATTCTGTTGATTTATCTTTTTCTCTCTGAATGGGTCATAATTTCCTGTTGTGTTTTTTTTAGTAAACCTTGTGATTTTTAATTGTTGAAAACTGGACATTTCAGTTTAATAACGTGGTAACTCTGGAAACCAAAGTCTCTCCCTTTCCCAGGATTTGCTGGGCTTTGTTACTGTTGCTGTCGTTGTCAGCAGTCTCTGTGCCAAGGATCATCCTGGCATGAAAACTTAAGTCTTCTAAGGCCTTTTCAAACCTGTGTTTTTCCCTGGGCATGTGCAGTCACTCTCTCATTTTTCCTATATATGCAGTTGCTTTTGAATGTCCTGGTGTTTAATGTCTGGACCCCAGAAGAGGAAAAAGAGAAAAATGGGGGAAGTGTGGTTAAACAACCCCCTTCAGGTCCCCTGGAAATCACTTCAGCCAAAGATGAAGGACTTTCCACAATAGGGGGGAGTTCCACAACAATCATTACCTCCTCCTTTTCTGTACTTCTGTGATTAGAAGCAGCTGTCAGCAGTTGGAGCACAGATCCCCAATATCAGGAGGACAAGGGTCCTTTTTGCCCACCTTGGGCTCCCACAGGCTGTGTGCAGACTGCTGCAGGAACATAATGGATAGCTGCTACTCTTTTGAGAGCTGAAATTGACCAGAATTAACTTCAATTTATTGTCCAGGTCTACTCTTTATCAGGTAGAGAACTTCTAGTCATAGTTGAATGTTTTTACCATGGAAAGGTGTTGGATTTGTCAAATGCTTTTTCTGTATCCAGTGAGATGATCATGTGACTTGTCCTCTTATTCTTTTAATGTAGTGTATTATATTTTTTGATTCATGTTGAACCAACTTTGCATTCCTAGACAAATCCCACTTAGTCATGGTGTATAATCCTTTGTATGATTCTATACTAGGTTTGATAGTGTTTTGTTGAGGATTGTTCCACCTATATTCACAACAAATATTGGTCTGTAGTCTTTTTTGTAATATTTTAGTCTGGCTTTGGTACCAGGTATTATGGACCTCATAGAATGAATTGGAAAATGTTCCCTCCTTTTTTGTGGGGGGAAGAGTTTGTAAAGCATTGATTGGTTCATGGTATATTTTTTTCAAGGAAAAGTATCTGCTCACTTTAGGTGCCCAGGTGACCTCTCAGGACCTTGAGCCTTGCTTTGGTGGGTACTGACTAAATTCCAGATTCTTGCATTACTAATGGGCTTTTCCCAGCCCTGTCCCAGTGGGGCTGGGAGGTTACCAGAACTCTTTCACAAATATTAATCCCAGTAGTTTTCAGTGTAATCTGGTTCAGTTTGCCATCTCCTAGAGTGTTGTTAGACGATTCCTTCTGGAAGCTGTCATCTAAGAGGAGTATTTTATAGCTGATTTTGGAGAATCAGAACCATTAGAAAGAGCTATTTTACAATTTTATTTTGTGCCATCTTATATCAGTATCTCATTGATTCCTTTGTCATGTTAGGTCCATACTCTAGAACACTAGTTTATCACTCCATTAAAGCCACTGTGAGTCCTGGTTGGGTGTGACTCAGTTGGTTGGAGCATCTTCCTGTACACTGAAAGGCTGTGAGTTTGGTTCCTGGCCAGGGCACATACCTAGGTTGCAGGTTTGATCCCTGGTTGAGGTGCATATGGAAGGCAACCAGTGTTTCTCTTTGCATAGATGTCCTCTCCTTGCCTTCCCCCACACCCCCACCGTTTCTTCCTCTCCCTCTCCCCCTCTTCCTCCCTCTTTCCCTCACTTCCTCTCTTCCTCTCTCTTAAAGCAATGAAAACATGTCCTGGTGTGAGGATAATAATAATAATGCTGCCACTGTGAAAATGAAAGTTGTAGCTCATTCTCCCTCTCAGGAGCATGCCTCTACCTTTCCTTTCCCCCTGTCTTCTTCCACAGTGTGTTACCTTTACCCTTCTCTCTCCTAAGCTCCAAGGGCCTTCTTTTGCCTTTGTAATTTGTTTCCTGAGCCCACTTCTTTCATCACTTGCATTTTCTACCTCTGCGACTTTCTAAATAAACTTTCTCTTATAGCTGGGGGGAAAAAATGTGAAAGACGTGGTCCTCTGGCCACCACTGGGCATCTTTCTGAGCCCCCTTGTGATCCATCCCACTTTTCGCCCACAGGTACCACGTACACAGACTTCTCGGCCGGAATCTCCAGGGATGACCAGCCCCTCCCCACGCATCCAGATAATCTCCACCGACTCTGCGGTAGCCTCACCTCAGCGTATTCAGGTACCTGCACCAGTCCCACTTAGTTCTACACATAGACACCTGCCTAAGGGTTTCACTAAGGAGTTGGGCATTGGGCATCAAGTATAATACAATTTTATTCTTTAAAGAATAAACGAAGAAAAAGTTTACATTTATTGAATTAACTTTTCAAATTTATTTACTTATTTTTAGAGAGGGGAAGGGAGGGGGAGAGAGGGAAGGAGAGAAACATTGATGTGAGAGACAAACATTGATCAGTTGCCTCTCACATGCGCCCCATCCAGGGACTGAATCCACAACCCAGGCATGGCCTTTACTGGAAATCCAACCAGTGACCTTTTGCTTTTCAAGACAATGCCCAACCAACTGAGCCATACTGATCAGGGCTTGAATTAACTTTTATTACAAAAGTCTAAACTATTTTTTCAAACTATTGGAATGAAGTTCCATTTTATTACTTAGGTGCATCCAAACTGAGAGGCAATATGTCCTAGTGGTTAGGAGTATGGACTCCCACTTGAAGTCAAAACCAGTGCCTCACTCTATAGCTTTTTTGACCCTGGATGATTAATTTTTCAATGTCTCACTTGTTTCATTTAGAAAATGTACATAATAATTACCTCATAATGTTATTGTGTGCAGTCAATGATATACTGCTTATAAAGTGCTTAGAACAGTGCCTGACACGTATTAATGTTTAGTATGTACTAACTGTCTACATATAATAACTATTACTACCAGTATTGTTGTTGTTATTAACTAACCAGTATTCCCTTATGGGAAGGTAGTCTTCCCCAGGGCTCTGAACCTGCCTCTGGCCCACTGAACAAAGAGAAGGTACAGGTATTGAAAGTAGGATTAACAAACTCACATTAAAGATTCATAGTTATCTCAAAAGGGTGAAACAAAAAAAGAAAAAGATGAATGGCAGGAAAAAAAAACGTTAGTTACATAACATGAGTTTGAGAGAATACCCGGATGGACAGGTTTTTAAGTGAATAAGTAAAAAGATTGCTTTTATTTACAGTTTATTTCAAGCTCACTACAAGAGTAACTAGATAATTTCTATTGTGTTGGCTCACTTTTGAGAATGATTTTATGGACTGTATTATAAACTAAACGTAGACAAGTTCTAAGTGAAATAAGTTAATTTTATTCCCATTATGTCTGTCTTACATGATATTTTATAAATACTGGAGTTCATATACTTGTTATTTTAACTTTATACCAAGTAGGAAACACATATCTAAGTGTTTGGAAATTCAGAAGTAATGGCCTGACATTAATGTTTTACTATTCACCAGAACTAGGAATTTCATATAACTAAATTATTTTTTTCTCTTTTACTTGTTCTTACTTACTGAGGGTGACTTCAAAATGGGTCCTTTATAGTTTTATGTAGTAGGTGTTAGGATCCTGCCTACGTTATTCTTCTGATTGGGAAAGGAGCTAACTGCATGTAATTATGGCTGTTATATCATGGTATCACATCCATCTGAGGGCAGATGAGAACATAGACAGTTTCCCCAGGACACTCAGTCAGTAGCTAGTGTATATTTCAAGAGAGTACGCATTTCCCCTGTATTTGTATAAGTAAAATTTTTATGTTTTTCTAAGGGTGTTTTAGCATCTCATTCCATACAGTAAGACTATTTCCACTGCCTGGTACTCTGCCCATGGTGACATGCTTTCATGGCTGGAATGCAGTAAGTTCATGTAGACTAAATCCTTGGCATTGAGTTTTCAGTCCCTCTAGAGAAGATAACCCATTAGCATGAGTTTTTTGTAGAGTAAATATATCCCTGGCCAGGTGCTCGGTTGGTTGGGGTATCATCCTGTGCACCAAAAGGTTGCAGGTTCCATCCCCAGATGGAGAACATACAGATAGCAGCCAATCAGTGTTTCTGTCTCACATTGATGTTTCTCTCTCCTTTTCTTTCTCTCTAAAATCAATAAACATATCCTCTGGTGAGGAATTTTTTTAAAAATAATAATAAAATAAAGTGTATATATAGTAAATATAGGGCACATCAACTGAATGCATTTCAAATTTTGGTTTTTTTAAAGGAAAGTTAAGTTTATAGGATCATTGTAGATTCTTGATGTTGGTGCTGATGGCTTTGATGAAGTTTTCATTTCTAGCCCTGACTTCAGTGTTGATTCTCCCATGCCCTGACGCCTGGGAGGAGAACTAAGTACAATGTTTGAATAAATAACAGTGCTTGGAACCCAAATAGTAGCTTCTGTGACAAGGTTGGGAGGGAAAGCTTGCACAATAAGGATGACAGGTTATGCAACATTTAGGAACTTTAACTCTGAATGGAACAGACTTAGGATGAAATCTTGTCTCCACTCAGCTATGTGACCGTGGGGAAAGTTTCCATGATCCGTATGTGTAGCTGTAAAATAACAACAAAAGTAGTGACTATTTTATAGAATTTTTTGTGGATTAAATGAGGTAATTCTTTTAATCATGTAAAAAGCAAACCAATAAATGTTAGCAACTGAGTTATGATTTTTGTTTTATTTTTATATAATTTCAGACTTATGGAAAAATAGTACATGGAAGTCCATTACACCCTTTTCCCAGATTCTCCAATTCTGAGTGTGTGTTATGTATATATTTTCTGAATCTTTTGAGAATTACAAACATCACTCATCTTTGCCCTGGATACTTTAGTTACTTATAAGAACAGTGGCATTCTCTTAAATAATCACAGTTCAGTTATCAAAATTAGGAAACTTAATATTGAAACATACCATTATCTAATCTGTAGTCCATAAGCAAAAATGTCATCAGTTTTCCCAGTTAAGTCCTTTATAACTATATTTTCCCATTTCAGGATTTATATTACTGTTTTTAATAATGATAATAATGAAGGTGTGACAAGACCAACATATCTAGCTTATGCAGGCCAGTGGAAGGTGAGCTGAAACAGACTTGTGTTCATCAGTACTGTGTTATCCTGATGGCTGTGAAAGGGCTTTAAGGCCATGTGGGAAGGGTGGCAGTCCTCAGAGTAGGGTAGGAAGCCTTGTGGCTGGGGTTGAGAGCCTTTGTTTTGGGGGGATACAGAGATCTAGGGCATGGGGGTTAGGGGATCAAGAGCCATAGTATAGTACCATATGTCTGAGGATGAAGCTTAATCTAAGCCATTGAATCACATAAATCTCACAGGTTTTGATCATATGTACATCTTTCCAGACCAGTGTTATTCAAATTGTGTTCTTTATTGCTTCCCAGGTTACACAGACATTAGGTTCCAATTTTTTTTAAGTGATTATAATAGATAAAAAGAAAAACACACTTGAACATGTCATGTACCAGATTTGACACTCTGGAGATCACCAGTGTACTCACTTTTACTGCAGTGTTTATTCTCTTTGGGGCAGACCTTGGTATAAAGCTTCTCTTGCCACCTTTGTGTATTTAAGGTTTTCCTGAGACATTCCTTTATACTCCCTATTTCAGGTTTGTGTTTTTCAGGAGCACATTATTGTACTCATTGTTTGACCTAAGGAAATGTTTGAATTTGAGCTTTTAAAATACATTTATGTTATAAAATACTTCTTTTATCTATTATATATTGAGGTTTCACATTTTACTAGAATGGTCGTCTGCTGTTTATATACTTTTAAAATTTTTGCAGTCTTTATTTACAGTCCCTTTTGGAAGTCATCTTGGGCTCTTATAGCACCCTCCTTTGTCTACCTCTCCCCTCCACCAGCTTGTCATTGTTATACATCCCTTCTTTGAGCTGCCAGAACCTGTTCTCTGTCATTTCCATGTCCACAACCACCCGATGTTTCCTGTCTCACTCTGATGTTCTCTTGGCCCCTCTCAGGTACGAATAGGAGCTGTTGCTTGTTTGTAGGTGTTGAATGAGTGATAAGTGCATGCCATAACAAAATCACACCAAACACGGTACAGAATAAAAGATAAGTTGTCTTTCCTCCTCTTCCCCAGGTGTCTCCTAAGAGGCAACCTCTGTTACTATATTACTTAGTTGTTATTTCAGAGCTAGGCTCTCCATATGCACCCACAAACACATGTATAAATACATAGAGCATATTTTTAAACATGTGTCAACATTCTGCTCACTCTTCTGCACCTTACTCTTTTCTTAATGTCTTTTGAAGGTGGTTTCATGTGATACATGTAGAGCTTCCTTTTCCTCTTGAGTGATAGTTTGATGTTCCATTTCATGAATGCTACAATGAATAACCTGCTTTATTTAGCACAAGTGAGAGTATTTCTGTACGATTGATTTTTTGAAGTAGGATTGCTGGGATAAAGGACATGTCCATGTGTAAATTTCTTTTTTACTGAGGTATATAGCCCCCACTTCACATCATCAATAGGCTCTGCAACTTTAGGTGAAAGAATATGTAATGAAACCAATTTTACCACAAGCTAATTGATATAAACAAGAGTTAAATTCCTACAGCATCTCATCAACATTGTAAGGAAACACCATTGAATATTGTTGAAGGAGACACTAAATGACATGTGCAACATAATGGTTCAATATTTGTATGTATTGGATGATCACCACAATAAATCTAGTTACCATTCATCGCCATATATAGGTATGTTTTTTTTCTTGCAATGAGAACTTTTAATATCCACTCTCTTAGCACCTTTCAAATAAACAACACAGTATTACTAACTATAGTCACTGTGCTGTGCATTACATTCCTATGACTTCTTTTTCTGTAACTGCAAGCTTGTACCTTTTGACCTCCTTCACCCATTGCACTCACCTCCCAACCCCTGCTAGTGGCAGTCACCATCATGTGCTCTGTACCTATGAGTTTGTGGGGGTTTTGTTTGTTTTGTGTTGTTTCTAAGATTCCTCGTGTGAATGAGAGTATGCAGTATTTGGGCATTTTTAAGAATATGAATTCTTCCAATTTATGAGAATGAAATATCTTTCTACTTATGTGTATCTTCAGTTTCTTTTATTAATGTCTTACAGTTTTCAGTATACAGGTCTTAACCTCCTTGGTTATATTTATTT